AAACACTAAACTTTCTTAATGCCAATGACAGTGGGCAGACAGCTGTGGAAAGACACGGGACTACGGAAAAAACAGCTGAACTGAACCAACCAGTGTATTACAAAGATGTGCTGACCTCGGTATGGAAACCTGGACATATATTACATTGGGGTAGGGGTTTTGCATTTGTCTCCACAGGAGAAGAAAATCTTTGGATGCCATCAAAATTGATCAAAATTCGAGTTGAGGGAGACAACCCCCTCGACAAGGATGACTAACAGGTATTTTCTGAGGAACCCCCCTCTAGAAGTCAAAGGACACTACATGTATGGATACTATAACCATGGAACAAAAGGAACGTGCCATACGGTAAAATTTACAGCTGTCTCTCTAATAACTCTATGTCTATTCATTTCCTAGTCCCTATTCAACTAAATCGAGACTGGATTTAGAGTTGGATTTGGCTTTCCTACTCTAAAATCCAAGCATGTTAATTAACAACATTTAAAAGTTTCTGTGTTATATCAAGAAGCCAATTGCTATAATACAGAATAAATGAAGAATAAGAGGACTATCTTTGTCTTTTCTTGGCTTTGTCTTTCACACCCTCTCATAATCGTGGTTCGTCAAGGTACCTTTCCCGGTACACATACATGAACAATCGAACATTTCTCTGATGACACTTATGTTTGAGTCCCATACAGCCAACAAGACCCAGCCTGACAGCAATCCCTGCATGCTCCGGAAAAGGAATTGGACTACACCTCCCCGACTGCACTGGATTCAACTCCCTCCGTTTCGACTGACACTCCAACCAGAACCGCGAGTAACGACTTCAATCAAGTTGAGGATTTCAAAGTAGATCTTCAATCAAACAAATCTCGTCTAACATGGACTAGACATAACTCATTAGAGACTTTCCCTGTACTGGCATTTTTTTTCCACAGGGCCCCCACATGACTACCATCGTCCCATTTCAACAGGAAGTAACCTAGAAGATGCTACGCCCCCGTTCCCCATTATTGTTTATTAGGGTAGTGTAAGCCTAGTTAAGAATGACCTTCTTATTGTTTAGAGTTGGGATTGGAAGAAGGTGTTCAAGTTAGACACTTTTTCCACATGACTTTAAGACTTAGCTAGAATAGACATAGGATGTATCATAGCAGATTATTGTATCTTCTTGTATTCCACCCTTATGATTGTTAGTTTTGGATATTTTACACTATTAAGTTTTAATCCTCTCTTAGACTAAAAGGGGAATTGTAGGGAGTCACCCTAGCCCTGCCCAATAGTCCTGGGGCAGGTACCAGGTGGACCCGGGGACTCGCCCATAAGGGCGTGGTGAAGGAAAGCCGGGATGACGTAAGGGAGCTTCTTAAGGGGCTGCACGTGGGGACACGGGCCCCCTTTTGTTCTGGCCGCGCTGGCTGGGTTCTATAACCTAGCTCTGGCCTGTGTTTCACCCTGCTATCTTCTGAAATAAAGAGACCTTAATCCAATAATGTGGTGCACATAAATCCACACAGGCACACATACATACACATAAGCTTTTAAAAAAGTCCTTTTGAGTTGGGGTGGAGGTGAAATGCCCGCCGTGGGGAGGTATCCTTGGTTGCCCATAAAGACTTGCAAGTGTGTTCCACAACACTCAGCATATGAACCCTCACACTGAGTATGAAAACCAACAGTGGCTACTGCCAGAGAAACAGGGACAGTTAAGAAATGGCAGCAAAGGTCTGAAAGGTCCTGGGTTCGGTCCTCTGTGCCACAAATCATCCCCGTAAACTCGTCCTTATTATAAGTGGCCAGAGAAGGGAATGGGCCAAACACAGTTCAAGTATTTTGTGAAAGCCTGGCCTGCACATAGAGACGAACTAGGGTTGCCAATTTGATGTTGACCAGGTATTTTGGGCATACTCATTCATTTTTAACGAGGAAAATAGACCAAGACTTATGATACCTGCCCAAGGAATTTAAAATAAAAAGGGTCTGATACTAGTATAAAGATATTCAATGGGGCACATTTGGGGTTAAAAGATTACAGAAAAATATTAGTATCTCATGCTTATTATTCCACAGAATTAACACTGCTTGATAAATCAGGGACACAGGTGTTTACTGTGTTTGAGAGGCTGTGTCTAAAAGAAAGACAGCATTGTCCTGTTACAGACTTATATGTCTTATTTTCCATGTCGAAATTTGAGCTTGTATTATAAGCATTTGAACTTGAAACAGCTTATGACACCCCTCCCCATAAAATCTCCTCCTACTAGTCACTAGGGCATCTGGGAGGGTTATTGGAGTGTAAGTGTGGTGATGATCATGATGTTTGAAATTAGATTTTTTAAGCAGCTAATTATGTGCTGCATAAATATGCAAAGCATGAATACATCCCAGTCAGAGCCATTTTCTTTGTAGACACACCCAGAAGTGAGCAGAAGACACAAACAGTGGGGTCCCCAAAAGTTTTGTCCATGTTGACTAACAACTCTAATATGTGTAAAAAGATCTCACTTGCATTAAGCAACAAGGGTAGTTATTCAATTCAATCCCCATTCAAAGGCAAATAATGACCAAGAGGGGAAAAATAATACTACAGAGACTGTATCTACCCAACAGCAAAATGCACAAAACTGCATTGTAAAGAGATTCAGATTTCAAAGAAAGTAGATGAAAATATCTAGAGAACGAGTCTGTTTTTTTCCTGAGGCATATAAAACTCCACAATGATAAAGCACAAACTTCAGTCTAGAGACTAACAACGTCTATCCAGCGCTTTCATAACTATAAATCAGTGGAGCCAATGAGTCTAAGGGACAGTGATACCCTTTAAACATTTACAGGAAGGACAGTTTCAGAACTGGTACAGTTTGTCTCTGCTCTGAGCTCTCAGATTACAAAAATAAAAAAGATAATATGAGCATTCATTTGCTTTCACTGTTGATGTGAGTATCACTTTTGTGTGGTGTGTCACTTTTGCAGACAGGGGAAGCCGGAAGGTGAGAGGACAAGGCTGAAATGATATAACCCCCTCCTAAAGAAGTCCCACGTAATAATGATGACAGCACCTCTAGAATTGGAGTGGTGAGGAATCTCACCATGATCTCATCCCCAGTGACCCACTTTCCCCAGGAAAGCTGACAGTCAGGCAATGGGACATCCATCCCTGGTCTTCAGTCTTGGGGTGTCATGGGCCAGTTCTTCCTGTCCCCCTGTCCCAGGTTGTTGAGCATTTATGTTTCACATTCCACCGTTTGCTTAGCACCAGGCAGTTGCTCCTACAACTTCTCTAGCTCAGCCTCTCATTTCCCTCTATCGCTACGTGAAGAAATTTAAATGCAGATTTTCTAGTTCCTGGCACATGTGGCATGACAGATGGCATCTGATAATGATGGAGAAACTGGGACATTCCTTAACTAATCAGCAGAGCACAGGACTTCCAAAGCCATTACCTGCTTCGGCTGGGCTCCCTTGGAGAGAATGTCCAGCAAGTCAGCCGAGGAGATGAAGTAGAAGCGAGGGAAAGTGACACGCTTGGTTTCCAGGTACTCGGCCAGGGCTTTTTCACAGAGGGAAAGCCTGCATGAACACATGAAGAAAAACCCATCTCAAGCATGCCCGTGTTTCCACATTGACACTCCAAAGAGAAAACCTGCATTTACCATGACTCCATTCAACCAGGAAATCACTATTTCAGACACCCCCTCCTGCTTTGACATCCTGCTTACAAGTAGAAGACAACCAAGCCAAGGGAGGTGGACACACACACACACACACACACACACACACACACACACACAATTATATGCCAGACTCAGGTTTATGGGTTTATGCTACTCTGTGCTTCTCATGATGAAGACTAGACTTGGCATTGCTTGCCCTAAGCACAAATTTCAGTTGTAAGCTATAACTGGGGCAGAGCCCTTTCCTCATTGGATATCTGCAAGACACAAGTGACTTCAAGATTCTCTGGCATTCAGGGAAGTCACAGACCTAGAATGGCTCCCACTTTATCATCACCAATAGCTCTTGCTATTGGTTACATACAAATAACTGCATCTTGTCAGTAAGCATCTCGTCTGAATGGTGGATTTGCCCACTTTAAAGCAAAGGCCAGAATGACTTTGTGGATGCAGTTGTGGACTATATGTGAATGTGACTTGACAAATGGCCCCGAGGAAAAGAATTTTGAAAGCACTGACATGCTCTGTAAGGGTGACATATCATAGCGAGAAAGTACAAAGCAAGCAATGGCTCACACCTGTAATATAGCACTTGGAAAGCTGAGGCAGGAAGATTCCCATGAGTTCAATGTCAATCTGGAGCCAAAACAACAACAAATGATGGGGGGGGCGAGCAATGAGAGAAAGGTGGGGAATGAATGAGAATATACAGACAGACAGACTAAAGGACTGTGAGTGCTGATCAAAGTTTTGGTGCACAGTAGGTGTTCAATGAGTATATGCAGAATGATATGGTGAAAGAATTGATCAGTTATCGGAAATCTTACCTAAGACACACAGGGTAACCTAGAGAACAAAGAGCGACTTCAACCATGAATATTAAACACTGTTAGAATGGGGGAGAAACAAACTTGAACTGACCCTTTGTCATGTTCTTACCTGCTCTGAAAATCTTTCAGTCTCTCATACAGGTGGGGTCTGCATGTTGCTTCTAAGACATTTTTTATTTTGGCTGTCTTGAACATTAACTCCTATATATAAGCATAACGTAGATGTTAGAAACTCCACATTTTCCTTCCACTGAGAAGATTAACATTTGATAGCATGACAGCTGAATGATCAGTGTTCAGGAGACTGTAGGTATGCCTGGCACCATATTTGCACCATGTATGAACAGTATTTGTTAACATAATTTCACTGAACAGTCATACCTGTTTGCTTTCATAGCTATCTGCCATGCCACGGTGACAGCCTTGAATAGCTAATATGGCGATGGCAAGATTTGTAAACAAACAAACAAACAAACAAAAAAAAAACGTAAAGCAACTGGCACATGGATAAATCCTGGTTTTAGGGCTATTCTTAATAGTCCCAAACTGAAATAATCCTGATATCCTTTAACCAGAGAATGGCTAAACTGAGATATATTCTAAATGGAACATTGCTTGGTGAGAAAAGAACTATTCAAGCAATAACCTGGGTGAAATCTGGACAAAACTATGGTGTGTGTGTGTGTGTGTGTGTGTGTGTGTGTGTGTGTGTGTGTGTGTGTGTGTCTGTGTGTGCACGTGTGTATGCGTCTGTCTATGCACGTGTGTGTATTCATGGGTGTTTTGGTACATGTGAGACCAGAGGTTTCCTTGTTTTTTGAGACAAGGTCACTTACTGAATCTGGAGCTCACTGACTTGACTGTACTAGGGGACATCCTGTCTCCATTTGCACAGTGTTGGGATTACAGGCATTAATTTAACTTACCTGGCTTTTATATACAGATCAAAGTGAGATCTTTATGTTTGCATAGTAAGCACTTAAATGCCTGAGCCAAGAATAGTCTTGAGTGAAATAAAACTTCAAGGGTCAAAAAAAAAAAAGAAAAAAAAAAAGTAAAGCTTCAGTTCTGAGTCCTATGCATCAAAATCTAACACAATGAATGTATCATGGGTTTTTAACATGTGAAAACTTTGCTAGAACAGGATAGGCTCATCTTTGACTGACCTTAAATTCAGCATCTACTCCATCAAATCTTCTGGAATCTTCCACGAGCTGGGTTCGAATATCTTCTGAACAAACAAAGATGTTTTCCAAGTGAGACCAGGTTCGCTGGACTTCCATCCAGGTAAAGATGACTGCATCGGCTATGTTTAACTTGTTTTGCCAGCTTAGGACTTGCTCAATGAAGTATTCCACATACTTGCTTTGAAGAAGAGTCTGCAACTGAACCTAGAAGGCAGGCAGGCAGGCAGGCACTGGTCAGTCGCTGACTGGTGAACTACGAGTGCAATGAAGCAGGATACTCTGCTAGTTGCTGTGTTCTTGCACCTTGCATGGAACCTAGAGAGGCACTATCAAGTTTTTACAAAAATGGGCCAAAGAATTCATAGCATGCTGATGTATCCAACCAAGGAAATGAGGTAAGTAGAAGCACCGATACTTAACATGTCTTCTCCACACTTCCATGCAGGTAAAAACCAATATTGGGGGCTGGGGAGATGGCTTAGTCCATTAAAGGACTTGTTATGAAGACCTGAGTTCATATCTTCAGCACACATAACTTAAAAAAAAAAAAAAAAAAAAAAACTAGGCAGAGATAGGCAGATCCCAAGGTTCAACAGCCAGTCAGCCCAGCCCAAACAACTAGTCCCAAGTCCCAGAAAAAAAAACAAAAAAACAAAAAACCTTTGCCTCAAAAGTAAAGATAAGCCGGGCGGTGGTGGCGCACGCCTTTAATCCCAGCACTCGGGAGGCAGAGGCAGGCGGAGCTCTGTGAGTTCGAGACCAGCCTGGTCTACAAGAGCTAGTGCCGGGACAGCCTCCAAAGCCACAGGAAACCCTGTCTTGAAAAACCAAAAAAAAAAAAAAAAAAAAACAAAAAAAAAAAAAAAAAAAAACAAAAAAAAAAAAAAAAAAAAAAAAAAAAAAAAAAAAAAAAAAGTAAAGATAAATACCACCTAAAAAGTACTAGGGACATCTTTAAGAATGAAAGCCCCTAGGACCTGCCTGTTTTGTTCAACATTCCAAGGGTGTGTGTGGGGGGGGGGGTTTGTTTATTTGTATGCATATAGGTCTCAAAAAAGTAAAATCTCCCTCAAGCTTCCTCTTGCCTCTGCCAGCTGAGTGAGTGCTATGTTCTACAACACTATTGTCACCAAGACTTGCTGTCACACGCAGCAGTCTGATAGTTACTTCTCAACAGGCTGACATGGAAACCTCAGGACTTCACTGGATAAATTGACCCCTCTTGTTCTCTTTTGCACACATGAATCCTCTTTGGGACAAAACCCTTGGTTTCTATGCAATATCCTGTTCCATTATTCCCCTGTTCACAGTCTCTTACCCTTCCCCACCCATTGTGTTGTTAAACAAATGCAGCTGGACCTTGTATCCTTTCTCTTTATCCAACTTGCTGGATACTGACAACGGCCTCCCAACCCTCATGCTACACTGAGCCTCTAGGTTGGGCTCTGGGCTGATTTCTGCCTTTATATAAATGACTCTCACACTAAATAGGCCCAGAATTTTAAAGTCAGTGTGCTGTAGGCTTACATCTGATCACAGAGATAGTTATTACCTTCTCAAATGCTCTCATCAACCTCTGTTCTCACAAAAGTGTAAAGAGATGCTCATCTCTTTATCTTTATAACTCATGGTCATATATGCTATTCTCACATCTGTCTCCAGATTTACCTTCCATAAAATCCATGAAGAAAAAAGTACATTCCAAGGAAACCAAAACAATTGGTCCCTGAGAGGTGGCTGCTTTCTGGTGTCCCGAATGTTACTAACATTGTCCCCATTGCATAGCCATCCTTTGCTGGTGGTCATTCTGTCTCTTCTGGGCCTTGTAGGAGTCTGTCCATCTCTCCTTAGTCTCCTAGGAGTCTGTCTGCCTCTCCTTAGTCTCCTTGGAGTATGTCTGTCTCTTAGCCTCCTAGGAGTCTGTCCATCTCTCATTAGTCTCCCAGCAGTCTGTCTGTCTCTCCTTAGACTTCTAGGAGTCTCTTAGTCTCCTAGGAGTCTGTCCATCTCTCCTTAGTCTCCTAGGAGTCTATCTGTCTCTCCTTAGCCTTCAAGGAGTCTGTCCATGTCCCCTCAGTCTCCTGGGGGACTCTTTTGTGTAGCTCCTTTCTGAACTACAAGTCCACACCATTAAATGCCAAATGGTCCCACACCTGGAGCCCAGTCAGAGTAGATACAGAGTGAACAAATGAATCCCACTTTGTATGTGAATTTCAGAAAACAAAGTCTAAAATTTCTAATTAAAATAAAAATCTATAACAAAACCATCAATTTTACCTGGTTGTGCTCTAGTGTTTCAAAAAGCTGTTCGTCAGACTTCAGCAGTGGAGTGCCTGTTCGATGGTGAGTTTCATAAGAAAATTCCAGGGTCTCCCAGGTGTGGCTGACTTCAGTAATAACCTAGTAATCAAAAGAATCAATTAATTAAAGTTCATAGACATCAAATTGAGGGCCAGTATCTCACCCATGACCTAGAATTCAAAAAGTTTAATTATTATATTAATGTTAATATTTATAAATTTATAAATAAGTTATAAATTATGATATAAACTATAAATAAACATTTATAAATATTTAAAACTCATACAATTTAAAATGGGTAATATTAAATGTGACAAGCCTCATTTTTTTTCTTACATGATTCATGTTGACAAGATTGGGGGAGTAAATGCCACCACTCCAAAGGACCAAGCATTGCACTAACCCTAAACTTCTACTGGGTCTGATTTACATTCTCCTCCCTGAAGGGATGTAACTGCAAGAAAAGACTTAAAGGGTTACACCAATTTATATATTAGCCAGCATGAGGTAGGTGACAGGTAGGGCCTGCATGTGAATCTCAGTCTCTTAAGCAAACCTGGAGAAAATTACCTTTCTATGCCTCAGTTTCCCCATCTGTACCCTAGAAATAACAACATGATTATTATGAAAGACCAACGGAGTTAATGAAAGCCTGGTACTTAGATTGGGTCTTGCTGCAAAGGAAAAGATATGCAAGCGGCCCCTGCTCCCTTCAACAGGGGCCAGCCCTCTTGTGTCCTATGCCTTCCAGTAATCCTGTGTCCTTCTTGGGCACCGGCTTAACCCGCAGCAGAGAAAAATCTTGGATACATGCTTCCACACTCCCAGGTCAGTGAACACTACATCCTAATTGGCTTCTGTGTAAAATCACAAACCCAGAATGCAGAGGCAGCCCTAAAGGTATTACAACCTAAGAACTTAGTCTGGTATCCTAGAAGAGACACACTCCTGGGTGGTACCTTCTCAATGCCCAGCTCCTTCACGGCCTGGTCCACTATGTCTCTCACGTCTTCTTCAACTCTGTGCAACTGCAATGCCAGCAAGTCTGCCAATGTTGTGGCATCACTTATTGAAAATCTGACCTGATTAGGAAGAAACGGAGGCAGACTTTATAACCCACATTTAATGATGGTTCCTGGAAGACGGGGTTATACAGTTAATACAGTTACTCCCTTCCAGCTCACAGTTCCTGAGCCTTCATCTGCGGTAACTCAGGGCCAAGTCACCACCAAGTTCAAACACACACACAATGCTCTCTTCTGTTTCAATGCCTTCCATTTTCAAACTGTTTCTATTGCCTTTACCCAAAACCCTATTTTTTTTAAAAAAAAGATTCCCACTGTTCATTTATTATAATTTGTTCGAAACCCCAGGAACCAGGCAGCAGCCCATTTGTCTTTTCTTCCTGAAGTGCCCTGCTCACTGAACATAATTTCCAGTCACTTGTGATATGACCTAGTTTTACCACTAATTTAATCTTAGTGGCTTGGCAGAAATTGTCCTCACTCATGCCATTATTCAGGTTTAACATGTGAGAGAATTCACACTATTCTCTCCATTATCCTTTCCCTGCCACACAGACCCCTCAGCCAGGATTTGGTTAACAAGAACTCCGTTCTTCCTATACCCTGAAGTCAATTCATGTCCTTTACAAATGATGGCTGCAGAAAGCCATCTCCTTTGCAGTCCTCAGAGGACACCATTCTGCTCTCAGGAGGCTGATGCCCTCTCTGGATTCTACCATGTTGAAAGAGTTCTCAGTACCATTTACCCCTCCACAGAGTGACCAATGATCCACTGCTGAGGTCTGAGGGGCATTCACAGGGGAGACTGGATAAATATGACCTGGAAAGCTCCAGAAAGTCAGTTGAGTTGATTGTTCTATGTCTGAATTTACTTCTCACTTCATTCCACAGCCAACAGGAGCAGGGATGTACAACTGGACTGCCATGAACCATTGTACAATCTGTGGGCTCAATATGCACTCCAGCCCAGGTGACAGAGACACCGGCTCTTCTCTACCTCTGCTCTAGAGTCCAGCCCAGGAGATGGCGCTTTTCCTTCTACTGTCTGACTGTGAAGGTGGCTTTTTTTTTTTTTTTTTTTTTTTTTTTTTTTTTTGCTTATAAAAAGGCATTCTGGGGCTGGAGAGCTGGCTCAGTGGTTGAGAGCACCGGCTGCTCTTCTAGAGGTCCCGAGTTCAATTCCCAGTAACCACATGGTGGCTCACAACCATCTGTAATGAGATCGGGTGCCCTCTTCTGGTGTGCAGGGATACATGCAGGCAGAATACTGTATATGTGATAGATAAATAAATCTTAAAGAAAAAACAAAACCAGATATTCTATAAGTAATCACATACTGTGTCAAGGCAAAAAGCATATAGGAAGAAATAGGAGGAGAGACTAGATCCACAGTCAGTTACATATGCAGATACTAAAATAAAAATTCTTAATGAACGTATCAACCAGAAATGAAGGATAAGCAGACCATGAACATAAGAGCTTCAGGGTCACTCGATAGGTCGCTCACTACAGGCCAGATCTCACCCATGAGCATCTATATTACCTAATCTGACTCCCAGGTCTGCATGGGAAGCCTTGTTTTTAACTTCATACAAGAGTTAATGAAGGCACAAGGAGCAAGGAACTTAGCCCAGAACCCCATGATTCCTTTGTGTGGGGATGAGAAAGTCACACTGCCAGGCTGTCTGCGCTCCTCCAAGATCCCCTTTACCCTGCGTATCCTGGGTAAATTTTCCAGCCCTGCAAATTTTCCTTGCACCATGATGACATTCCTTCATGAAGAAAGTTCCTACTCTCCACCTAAGGAGAAAATGCATGCTAGTCTTCCCCTGACACATCTTCAACTGATTGAGCTCACTGGGGTGAAAACCAAAGCGTACGATTGGCACATTTGCTTTTCCATAGATATAGCTGGGGGGAAAACACAGAACCTCAAGTGTCATGGACATGTGTCATTCCACATGACTACCAAAGACAACAGCATATTACATACCAAGTCTATAAAAGGTCTCACCATGTCCCCTAAAGTCGGGTCAATACCTTACAATTCTTTTCATGGCACATAAAATCACTAGCTGCTATTTGATTTCTGTAAAATGCTGTCATATTTCTTTCTCGATCACTCCTTGCAAGACAACTATGATGCATAAAAAGCAGACAGAATCCTTCTCAGGATAAAAGTAAAAATAAACCCAAACCAGAGAAGTGAAGTGACTTCCTGAGAGTACAGAGCCAGGAGGATATAAAGGGGTGAGAAGTGGGCTCACTGGGTGCCTCGTCATTGGCCCTCAGAGAACCTGAGCTCTTGCATGTAGTTAGAGGCTCCCCCACATGCTCCAGCCTTCATCAGATGAGGCAAGCTAGGAGTGACAAATTGCAGCAGGTGCCTTCCGGTAAAGGTGACCCCCAGTACATACCCCTATGGTCTCCATCAGCTGCTGCCAATGCCTGTCCCTGAGAGCAGGGCTCTGCAACTCTGCGATGGCTCTCAGTGAGGTTGCCATGTCCTTCACAGTGCCCTCCAGGCCGGAATATGCATCCCAGCTACGGACGGCCTTGTCCAGTGACCAAATTTCCTAAAGAAATGTAAGGGAAATGCCCAAATTCCTATAGATAACATTATATTACATATATAATTATCTCCTTTGGGAGAATACATAGACCTTTCTCCATCCCTGGATTAAGAAAGACAGTGACGGGATATAAGAGGCTAGCATGAGATATATAAAGTTCCTGTATTAAAAAAAAAATACAAGAAAGTGAAAGTATTGGTTCCTCTTGACCAGGGGTTCTCTTATATTTTTGGTTGTGAGCCTAGCCTTTAACGGCTGAACCATCTCTCCAACCCCACCAGTGGTTCTCAACCTGTGGTTCAAAACCCCTTTGGGGTCTAATAACCCTTTATAGGGGTTGCTTAAGACCATCAGAAAACACAGCTATTTACATTATAATTCATAAGTAGCAATGGAAATAATTTTATGGCATGGGTGGGGGTTGGTCACAGCATTAGGAAGATTGAGAACCACTACTCTAAATTACAGACTAACCTAGAGAAATGCAAAGGGATCCACCCACTCCTAATCAGGAATCCACTATGTACAAGCCAAGTAGGTACCAGAGTTTCTTAAACACAAGAGCTCACTGGATAGCCCAGGAAGATCAAATTCAAGAAAAGTGACAGTCCATGGCATGCAGCCTTGCATCCTCTGGAAACACAAGTGAAATCAGATTGTTCCCTGTATTAATGGGACTGCCCTGGAATATCTAGTTCATCCGAATGAACCTTTAAAACGCAGGCTGTTTGCAAGTATCTTTCCCATGGGACTTAACTAATTATACGAGTTAAAGAAGTCTTAAATAAGGCCTCCCTCCACCCGGCTTTCATCCTGGCCCAAGGAACAATGCCAGCAGTTGTGAATGATTAAAAACCCATAATAAAACTGGGAAGAAGATGGTACAGATTCTTTTCATAATGAGGACCTGCAGTTGAGGCAGGGTTGTCACTGGGACATGCAATAACCATGCAGAGAAAAGGGGGAGTGAACACAGGGTTAGCTACAGCACCGCAGCCCCATTAGTTCTAAAGGGTTTGAGACTGGGACAATATGGGAGAACAAACTGGACAGAGACAGTACAAACTGAGCACAGACCTCAACCTTTGTCAAAGACATTGTGGCACAGGAAGATAGCAGAGGGACCACCCCTCCCTCCCTCCCTTTATGTACATTGGTGTGAAGGTATCAGTCCCCCTAGAACTGGAGTTATGGATGCTTGTGAGCTGCCATGCAGTGCTGGGAATTGAACCCAGGACTTCTGGAAGAGCAGCCAGTGCTCTTAACCATTGAGTCATTTCTCCAGCCCCAGAGCCTGCTATTTTTAACTACCTTCCACTGCTGTAGCCTTTGACTTTCTTCAGGCCCCATGCAGGACATTAAGTTCAGGTAAACAAAGCTCTGTGTGCACTGTACCCTCTGGGGATGCCAGGGTAACCACAGAAGTTATAACAGTCTGTGTAAATCCAAATTTGACTCCAAGAGCCAAACCAACAGGTCCCTTTGCAGATATGAACTACTCGTGCATGGTTGCCAAGGGAAAAACCAGGGGCTCAATCCCTAAACCACAGGCCTCAGCCCTGATGCTCACAGTCTTTCTCTCGATTGCTGTAGCAAGTTCATGGTCAGGGCTATCTCTGATGCACTCACTAACTCTTCAAATCATACACTGATACGGTTTTATCAGCTCATTCTCAGAAGGGCAGGCTTGATGAGATGTACAACTGTCTGAGACTGAGAGAAATACTCTTGTCTCATTCTGTTTGAAGTAAATAAGGAAACAGCCCCATACACCAGCTACGAGAGAGAGGCAAGGGAAGACGGAAGGAGGCGGTGCGGAGAAAGACAAATGGCTCTAGCCGGCAGTTATGAAACTCGCCTTGGCAAACCTCCTGAGTTCTGCATCCATCTGTTCCACATTGATCCGTCTCCACTGGGTTTTTGTCCAGTTGTCAATGCTTCTCTGAAAATGCACAAAGAGATAAAAGTGTCAACATTTGGCAAAGCATGTCTCCACAAGTAAAATATATAAACTGGCGAGACACGGGGACTCTCTTCACCAGGGGGAAAGGCAATTTTTTTAAAATATTAACTGCACTTGTCAAAACCTCCTCATCACTAAAACAAAAAAAAAAATGTTAGAACATTACAAGCTTAAGGGTGAAGCACCATGATATATTAATTCTTAGTCGCAATAATAAAATTCCACATAGTCACCACCATTTCATCTGCATAGTTGAAATAAATTGTTAAGTATATTATTAAATAATAGGCTTCTACAATTCCGCATGCATTATAAATCAGGCTGTCACCCAAAAGTCTTTATTATGACAAAAATCTCATTAAACAGTTTTGCTCATATTTTATATGTTTATTTATATTTTACACCTTGTTAATATATCTTTACATGGCTTTCAACTGACTTAAGGAGTTTATGCAAGATGTGTATTTTTCTAGAACTTTTTATATGTAACCTTTTAGAATTAATCTCATGCAAATTAAATATTTTCAGGACGTTTCCACTTACAAATGCATACAAAAATACTTACAGGGTGTCTAGGTGAGTTTGTATGCACAGCCAACTGTGTATTTAACATAGATTTACACATTAGCTTTTATTCATACTCTATGTACTATTGCCAAAGGCTCTGAGATAGTCAGCTCATTATACTCTGGTTTTGCTCTGGACTAAATAGAAACAACTGATATTCAAGACAGAATCTTCCATTAGCAGAGATCTCAGAACCTTAATTCTGGAAAGAGGGGTTGGGGTAAAATCTAATATGTGTGTACGTCAGGACACTATGAAACCCAAATAAACTGATACAGGCTCTGACATTGCATGTTTTACTCAATACTCTTACTATAGAGAACTATGCCGTCCCAAAACGCATCTTACTCTAATGTAAATGATGACATCCCAGAGTCCCTTGAGCAGCCGGATTTCACTGCGGCACTGCTTCATTTGTTTGTACTCGGGAAGAGCCACCTCAAAGAGACGTGCACAGTCTTGCATCTGACCCATCTCTTCCTCCAAAGTCTCCAGTTCCCGATGTGCCTAAGGATAAAACACAACTGCAAGTTGCAGGCTAGGGACAGAAGCCTCACCATATCTGGTCCTGGCACTGCGTATTCAAACTGCGATTCTCCATAGGAAACTTAAATAAAACTCTGCTAGGTAATTGGAGCTGTAGAAGGCTTTTGACTTCTTGGTTTCTTCATGTAATTGGGACTTTGCTCAAGGACAGGGGAAGTTCCTTATCAGAAATTAGTTTTTTTTTTGCTTTTTTTTTTAATGATCAGTTAGCTTAACAAAACAACAGCCATAAAGAAAAGAATAGGAAGGAAGGAAGGGAGGGAGAGTGAGAGAAAAAGAAAGAAAGAGAGAGAGACAGAGAGAGGGGGGGAGAGAGAGAGGAAACCCAAAAATTCTATCTGTGTGTAGTGCCTCATGCCTATGATCCTAGCATGCAAGAAACTGAGGAAGGTGGATCACTGAGAATTCAAGGCTGGCCTGGACACAGAGTAAGACTCTGGAAGGAAGGAAGAAAGAAAGGAACAGGAGAGGGGGGGAGAAGGGAGGGAGGGGGGAAGGGAGAGAAGGGGGAAGAGAAGAAAGGAAGAAAGAAAATCTGTCCGACTTCAAATGGCCCTGTAGGTGACTAGTAGTACAAGACACACTCAAGAACACACATGGCCAAGAGCATCCAGAGTAAATTCATTGCACACACCTGTGTCCAAATTTCACCTAATGGTCACCTTTGCTAAGGTTCACCTGCTATCCCCGTCACATGGAAAGGCTAATGTTTTACAACCAGTGCAGGCTGTTTGCTTTCTGCCTCTGTTTTCTCCCACCCCCCTCCCAAGGTCCAATGACTGAATTCCTTTACTTCCCTTTTCTTTTTAACATTAAAAATTGACAGTTTATCTTTTTAATGTTCCATCAGTATTAATCAGTATTAACTCTTTTGAGAAGCAAATATTTACCTGTTTATCATGTATATGTTTTGAACTATGTACACATTGTGGACTGGATACCAAAGAGAACATCTTGACATAGGTATTATCTCACTTTGTTTTTGGTGTAGTGAGAAGGCTTTAAAATGCACTCTTGGAGATTTTTTAATGTCAGAACGTTAGCATCAGACAGTCGTACAATATGCTTGTCCCTCGGTATCTACAGGAGACTAGTTTCATGACCCTGCCATAGATACCCAAATCCAAGTACTCTTAGTCCCTTATGTAAAATAGCTTGGCATTTGTATGTAAGATATGCATGTACTTTAAGCAGTTTCTAAGTTATCTCTAATACCTAATGCAATGTAAATGAATCACAAACAGCTGTCACACCAGGTTCTAATCACTAGTTTTGCTTTGGTTTTTGTTTTGTTTTTTGTTTTTCTATTTCTCTTCCTACTGGTTAATTTTAAGACTTATGTCCCTGTGATGGTTAATGTTGTCAAGTTGATACAATCTATAATCACCTAGAAGACAAAGCTCTGGGCTTGAGTTGCTAGATTGGATTAACAGAGATGGAAAGACCCTAAATGTGGGTGGCACCATTCCATGGGCTGAATACATAGGAGAAAGTGAGCCAGGAGACAGCCGCATCAGTACCTCCATGTATTCCCGGTGCAGATTCAATACGACCAGCTCTCACATACTCCTGCCACGATGGGCCCTCAAACTGTGAGCCAAAACAAACCCTTCCTTAAGTTAGTCTTGTCAGATATTTTTTTCATAGCTGTGAGGAAAAACAATAACATCTAACACTGTACAGAATTATTGTTTCTGGAAAAAAAATCTTGATAAATTACGTTTTTACGAAAATGTATGTACTTCATCCTGAAGCTCTCAAGTTTGATGTTAATGTGCTCTGTGGCCATACGTTCTGGGTCTTTCTGTACTATCTATCATTCTTGGACTGTTAACATTCCATTTGTCACCCAGATCATTCTTTTCAAGGTCTGGCTGCATGTGCCTCTGTCCTGAAAAATGACGTTTGACTTTGCTGTCCCCTTGTCTGGAGGCAAAGGCAGCAGGAGATACTTTGGTGATCTCTTGGCAGTGAGTTCATTCCAATGTTATGAAATTTAGTGTGTCTGCATGTCACTCCCACTGGAATATAATCTTAGGATTTGGAAGATGTCATCAGAGCCCTCTGGTTTCTGTTCTTGCTGAGAGTCCATCTTGCCTGCCTGCCACTTCTAGCAGCAGTTGTCTGGTTTTATCTGGTCACCTTTGGTATTCTGTGGTTCAACTGTGATTAATCTAAACAGGCTTTCACTTACCCTACTGGGATTCAGTCAGCTTCTGGAATCCACAGTTCATGCATTTTCTAGCTCTAGAGACATCTCGATCTATCTATCATTCTGTTTATCCTATTCTCTAGAACATAGGCATTAGGTATATTCCGATTTCTTCCTCTTCCCTATTTCCCATTTCCTTGTGTCTATTTGCAATGTTCTGAGTCATTTCTTCCAGCATAACATGCACATCCCCTACTTTTCCCAAATATAACTAGCTCGTTCTCTTATCTGCTGAGTTGTATGTCTTGGGCAACTGTAATTTTCATTTCTTTAAGTAACTGGTACTTTTCCAAATTCTACTGAACATTTTTGATAGACTCAAAACTGAGCAATGCTCATTTGTTTGGTATGCTCATTTTCTTTCTAGCATCTGAAGATTTACATGGCTCTGCATCTGGGTCTTTCCAGACTCCCAGGTGTGATGCTTACGTGCTGTCTGACTGCTCACTCGGGCTTCACTTGCTTGGTCTGTTGCTCCCCCGAGGACACTGGATTAAGTTTGGGATGGTGTTGTCAAGAGATTTGACTTTGCTCCTATTGGGTTCTAAAAAGAGCTACTTACAGCCACTTCTGTTACCTGGCCTTGGAAATTCCTGAGTCCCAACGCAGCTTAGTCCGTAGTCCCAAGGGAACCGCTGGTGCTTATGACAACAGGCTCATAGATTGCCAGCAGGCCCCTTCCCTCTTCCTTCTCAACAGGAACCCCGCACATACTGTAAATTCTATAAGTCCTTGTCCTGCCTCAGTGAGCCTGAGATCTGCTCTGGTACCACGTCCACTTGTGGCAAAAATGTCCATCTCAAAGCTGCAGGCTTCCAGGATGTCCCCCATGCTCAAGAGTCCCTAGCGTAACATGGCTTTGACACATGCCTCCATCCCCAACCTCCTTTCAAATGCCCCATCCTGCTGACAAGAGATTTCCCTCACTTCTTCTCAGCAGAGCAGCCATTGCACAATTGTACATCTGTGGTGATGCATCCAGCATCTTTCATACAAGAGGGACTCTTCACAGTCTGCATGACCCTCAAAGCCAACTAACTACCTTTCATCTTGAATAATTTCCCTATTTTGTGCGTCCCATCCTTAGCTCTGTACAAAACCCAGCACTTTACTGTGGGATCTCACTGCAGAAAGCAAGGAAAGAAGGAGGAGAAAGGAAATAAAGAATGAATGAATGCCACCAGAGACCATCACCCTCCTTGTTCCCAGAAGGTCAATGGCTTCCATTTGTAGGGTGAGATGCCTGGGTACTGAATTTCCCAATGTCACTGCAGAACAAGTACATGCCTGCCTCTGATTGAGCCTGATTCTTGAAGTATTAGATTGACAAGCTGAGAAAACACACACAAATGACTTCAATTAAAGGATAACCCAGCTAGCTTCACCCTATTTGAAACGTCTGCCACACATCCTGAAAGACGTAAGATGAGCCTCTCGCTTTTAAATATGCAACTATAAGGAGCCACAGTATGTGTGGAAGTGGAGAGATTCAAAGATACATATCTGTCATAAATGTTTGCAGACAACATATTGGTGAGTCATGTAAAAGAAAAAAAAACATTTTCCCATCCACAATCTGTTCGGACCACCTGGAGTTTAGATACAGTGTTTTAACAATCCTTTATTAACATATGCTCACTTACTCCTTTTCAGCGAATATAAACTAACTTTCCTCACCCAAAGGGGGGAGAAGACCTTAGGCCACAGACTGGTGGCTTTTCTTTTGAATAAGGTAAAACAATTGTTTCAATTCAAAGCCAGATTTGGAAATGGGGTAAGAGTTGGAAAAGATGTCTATTTGGACATGGTTCCAAGAGGAAATACTATGCCAAGCATGAAGTTAGAGTTTGAGGAAGAACCCAGAAGTTAACAGCACCTGAGTGGAAACATTTTCCCCCTCACAAGGGCATTTTTGCATGACTTGTGTTGCTCAGCTAGGATCCTGAAGTATTTTTTCTAACATGAATATATAAGACATCCTTTCAATTTTACTGTGGATCTAAGTTAATTCTTATAATAAAGTAGCATTTGAGAAACTAATGTTGGATGACTCAACAATATTTACACACAGGCTTATGAGCTTTCTTGTGGTTAAAAGTTATGCCCAGTGGGCTGGAGGCGGAGTACAGTGGGTGAGCGTTTACTAAGCTTGTACAGAGCCCCCCACCCTCCAATCGATCTCTACCCCCAGAAAACAAAGGAGAAGGTTATTATATGGGAAACAGTATCATTGTTAGAATTGCTGATTGCTTCAAAGAAGATTTAGAAATCGAGAACTGTAATCCTGTTTCTGAAATTTATGAACTGCAATCTGCAAAGAAAAAATATGTAACTATATGCTGATTTCCCTACATCTGAAAGGAGAAAAGTTGAAGCTTTCTCTTAGAGCTATATGGTAATTAAAATGCAATATGCTTAATAAAAATTCTTTTTAACATCCCCTTACTGTGTGTGTGTGTGTGAGTGTGTGTGTGTGTGTCAGTCCTTCCATCCACATATACACATGTGCCTACTCATGTGTTTATTGAGAATTGAACTCAAGACCTCCCTGTAAACTGGGTAAGCTCTCTCTATAACGATCTATATCCCTGCCCTCACTTTTTATTTTGAGATAGGATGTCACCAACTTACTCAGACAAGCCTTAAGTTCAGTTTGTAGCCTAGGCAAGCCTTGAATTTTATGATTCCCACCTTGGTCTCATAAACGACCAGGATTACAGACCCACACCACCATGGCTGGCTTGATAATAGTCTTGACATGTGGTAAGAGTTCAACCCATTCTCAGTGTTGTTTTCCCTGGCATGGTTATTTTTATGATGGTGGTGTTCGGAGGAAACACAATTTAAAACAACCTAATGTAGGAAAAAGGAAAATCCTTTTCTAATCTGGCTACTGTTGTGTGCATGAGACAGCTGAGAACGGTTACCTTATCAAGCACTTCGTATGGATTTTCTGCTCTAAATCCAAGTGGGGCATAGTTTCTGAATCTCTCTCTAAATTCTGCTTGCTTTTCCTGGTCAGGGGACAAAAGTGAATGTCAATCAGGCAGCTTCAATTATCCTTGTCAGGTTTTCCTTTAAAATATATAAACACAAACCCGGTCACTAACTCACATCAAACAAAATACATTTTTTCCTGATAAGAGTGACCTCCGCATTTTGGAGTGGGGATACTTCATGTCTGACTGTGGCTGCGATCTTCTTGGTGGTCTCCCATCTTTCAGGTAATTCCTGGGCAAACAAACATGCAATTAGACATCTCTTCAGTTCCCGAACCAACTCTACCACATAAGGTCAAATAATTCTTATTTCTTTACTCTGACTCAGGTCATCTTGTGGAAGTAAGTCAGCAAATAAAACAAGGTTATGGCATAGTGATTAAAAGGGTTAGAACTGGGACATCTTCCATCCAGGCACCAGAGTTGCTTTCATCTTAGAATTGGCAGAAATATTTTAAAATAAAGACTCACCTCCAAATCACTTTCCTGTTGTGGGAATAAAGGTAAAGAGTTGTGTGGGCTTGGGAGGGGCTCAGTCAGTAAAAAGTGCTTGCTGTGCAAGCTCCTGAATTACCTAGCTATGACAGTGTGGATCTGCAATCCTGAGGGCACAAAGGGGTGGGAGTTAGAAAGACACAGAGATAAGAGAATCCCTAGAGCTTGCTACCCAGCTAACCTGGCCAAATGGGTGAACTCCAGGTTCAATGAGAGACTTTGTCTCAAAATATAAGTGATTAGGGAAAACACCCATTATCTAACTGTGACTTCCCCATGAATGTGAAGCATGTATACTGTGCACCCAAACACACATATGTATGTACATACACACACACACACACACACACACACACACACACACACACACACACAGGAAATTAAAGTGCCCAGGGCATGAATTTACTGATTTGTAAAAACCAGAAATTTAAGTCAGGCACTTTAGCAATTTAGTAAGTTTGTTTAAAAAAAAAAAAGTTGCTTTGAAACTTTGATTCTGAGTAGGGAAAAGCTACAGGGTGACTCCATTTCTTCCTTTTGTCATAATTTGCAGGGTTCCAAGCTGGCTCAAGATGGTGAGTTTTAGCACAGAAGTTGGTCCGGTTTTTGCAAGGAGGAATTTTTGAAGGAATTTAAGAGGTGAGGGGAAAGGAAAGGTCAGTTCCTACTTGATGTTGAACAAAAACAGCAATAAACAGCTGAGGAACCACCTCCACTCTACCCTCCCCCTCCCCCTGAGGGCAAACAGGTGAGGAACAACTGACTTCCTTTGAAGAGCCATGGTGTGTAGTTGCCATGGAGAAGCATCCCTGTGTCCAAGGACGCTGAACTTGCTTTGTCATACAAAGTCAAACAGAGTGACATGGGCCTGACTTGTTGAGCTGAACAGCAAACTCCAAAGGTTCTACAGGCTACTTTGAAGCCCTTGATAAATATTTGATGATTGAGAAGCTGTGTGGAGAAGGTGCTTCAGAGGTAAAGCCCATTCTTTGACTTAAATTGGTACATTGTCTCTAAAAGAGAATGAAGGAGACATGCATAGAGCTACTTCATGTGGCACATGTTACTATTGTCCCCCAGCAGGCCAAAAAGTCATAGGCTTAATACAGCTACGCAGTATGACAGGAACCCCCTCCAACTCAGGAACCAACTGACTTCGGCTCTAAAACACTGTACCCCCGTCCTTTACCTCCTCTCGTCAAAACCCTGCATATTGTGACCCTGGATTATATCCCCAAAATGACGTTGCTTGACTATAATCCAATGACTCAGGAGGTGGAGGCCAAGAAGAGCAGGGGTGAAACTTCAGAGCTAGCCTCAGCAACATAGCAAGTTCACGGCCCAATTGAGAGGTTGGGCCTTGTCTCAAACAATAAGAACAACACAACCCAATCCAACTCAGCACCTCATCAGCAGCCATGACCAGGGAGGGTTAGAGGAGACAGCTCAGGCCCTGTACCTTCCCCAAACACAGCAGGCCTTCCATGTGTCTGTGAAGTCTAAATATCTCTTTTCTTGATGCAAATGTATTATCTTAAAAAGCAAAAGATCAGATAATCTCAAAAGTCTAATGAACAGGATCCAACTCAGGAAAGAGGCACAGTAGATGAGGGCTTCTGGGAGAGACAGAGTTGGTCCTGTGACTAGAACGTTAGTGATAATGTGGTGTAGACTGTGGACAGGGTGTAAGGATTCAGGCATTATGCGGCCCGCCCCTGTCACCTGGCAGAATGCGCTCAGGCAGTACCCTGGTCAGCCCAGTTTCCACGATTGAGTAGTCTGCACACAGTTGCAAAGGATTCCTTTAAAAGACAGACCCCACATACTTATGCTCTTTTCCCTCTCTCTTTTCTGCTCTTTCCCTTTCTCTTTCCCGCTGTTCCCCTGGGGCAGACAGGACTTTTCCTGTCTCCCTCTTCTCTTCCATCTTCTCTTTCTGTCTCTTTACCTCTTTTCTCTTTCCTCCCCTTTCTTATAAAACTTCTCATGAAACTCTGTCTGCCTGGCATGTTTGTTCCCTGCCTCAGTCACCCTCGCCTGCCATAGTCCCCCACTCAAGGTCCCCCTCAGGCTTTATTCATAACACAGGGTGTAAGGAGGAATGAGCTGGATTAAAAGCTACTGCTGTTAGCTGCGTTGGAGGTAGTAAGAACCGGATTAAAATGGGAATAGCAGAAATGCCAAGGAGAAAACAGGCTAAAAAGACTAGTGCATCGAGGAGCCATCTTGCTGGAGGTAAATGCCCGGGACCTGGAAATGACAAAGAAGCTCTGAGGAACACAAGCTTGTAATCATAGACGTAAGGATGCAAGGGTCTTGGAGCAGCGAGTTATTCAAATAAAGTTACAATTCAACTTCTCTTTCCTCCTATCCTAGTCTGCTTCTGAAAATTTAATATTTTCAATATAATCAAGCCTTAAGGGAGTCAAATTTTCATACAATAAATTCTTGGGGAAATGAATACTTCCCCTTACTTATTGATTAATTACATCATAACTGGCTTCTCTGTGAGAAGATCTGACACAAAGAATACCCAAATTCTTCTTTTAAGAAGAAATACTGGGCAGTGAGATGGCTTAAAGGGTAAAGGTGTGCATCTCCAGGACTGAGTTTGAACCCCAGAAAACACAGAAGGAGAGAATCAATCTTGAAAGGTTGTCCTCTGACCTCCATACAACCCACACCCCCCACACACAGGAAAAATAAATGTAAAAACTAAGTAAATAACAACTCTCTGTGGCTAATGCTACTGTAGTTAATTCATCTCTCCCTGTTGTTAAGCATTTGTCTGGCCAGTTTGTCACCTCGTCCCATGTAGCAGCCCTAAGGATAGTTTCATATAATACAGAACAATTCCTATGCAATAGTTCTCTTTGTCCTTTATGGCCAAAGAACACCTGTAAATAATATATTGTTGCATTTTATCCTGTCAAAATAAAATGTTGCCCCACCAGTGTGTGAAAACCAATTTGGCAATTCTTCAAAAAGTCATATATAGAACTACCATATGATCCAGCAAGTCCACTCCTAAGTGCATACCAGAAAGAGATAAAAACAGATGTTCAAATATCCACACATCAATGTTCTAAGCAAAATAATTGACGCTAGCAGGAGGCAAGTCTTACACCCATCTGTGGACAGATAGGTAAACACAGTGTGTTATAGGCTTACAATGGGATACCATTTAGCCATTAAAAAAACAACAACAAAATATTGATAATGTTATGAAGTGAATAAGTTTCAAAAGCATTATAGTAGGTAAAGTCAAATATAATGGGTTACAAATTGTAAGACTCAATTTATATGGAATACCTAGAATAAATAAATCCACAGAGATAAACAGGTGCTAACTGTTGAAGAGTGGGGCTTGGCTCTGAGTAGAGAATGACTGTGGTAATGAATGGGCAGTTTATTTTGGGGGATGAGGAAAATTTGGTGGCACTGAACAGAAGTGGTGGTTCCACAACTCTGTAAATACACTAAATCTCATTTAATTGTACATTTAAAATATCTTATAAAAGTATTTATGTTAATTTAGTTGTCAGTTTTATCTGAATAAAAAAAAGAACTGAAATAAATTGGAAACAGCAAATATAGACAAATTAAATAAAATATAGACAAATAAAAATTATCATAAATTGCTGAGCAGTGGTGGTGCACGCCTTGAATCCCAGCACTCGGGAGGCAGAGGCAGGCAGACCTCTGTGAGTTCAAGACCAAACTGGTCTATAAGAGCTAGTTTCAGGACAGCATCCAAAGCCACAGAGAAACCCTGTCTCAACCACCCCCCAAATTATCATAAAAAGAGTCACAAGAAATTTTTTACCAAAAAGAAAACACACTCCAAGATACACAGTGTGCCAAGACAGATAAATGAGAGCTGACCCCACAGTATTGAAAACCAGATGCTGTAGCTAGAGACTAACTCGGTGAGTAAGAGAGCTTGCTGGGTAAGCTGAAGAACCTGAGTCCAGATTCTAGCATCCATTTAAAAAGCTGTGGGCTGTCAGGGGTGGGGTAGAGAGCCTGCTGACTTTTGGTATAGCTCCAGATTGAGTGAAATACCCTATTTCAGGCAGCTTGGGTAGAAAATAAGAGAGCAGGACACCTGATGTCCATCTCTGGCCTCTGCAAGTATACATACATGCATATTCACCACATACACGCTCACATGCACACACAAATCAGTATTTGAGCTGTGAGCTCTGACCAATAGATCTCAAAGCAAGCTTTGGTTAACGCATCCACTGATTACATTCACAGAGCCCATTGTATGCCCACCCCCAACCCCACGATCTCCAGAACACCAATATGCACAGTAGCAGAGCCTCAACTGGAAGACTTTTTTTTTTTTTTTTGCTCATAAATTCACTTAAAACAGACTTTGCTCATTTTGCTCATACTCTGGCACACACCAGCCACCAAATGTTTCTGGGTTGCAGACAAGTGTGAAACAGAAATCTGACAGGAAAACACAGAGATTTCCCCATCCAGACCAGATTCCACATTTTATCATCACATTCCAAGCCTAGAATGCTTCTCAGATGACAGGCAACTGAGAATGCAGAAGACTGTGGGTATGGCTGTACCACACACATGAAAATGATGGTAACGCTGGAACTCAAGGAGCAGCACAGAGGTGCTGACTGCCCAGGGGGGCAGTGTCACAGAGGATGAGAACATTTTCCTTATACACATCTTTACCTCTGCTATGAAAACACTCCTAGCATCAGCTCATATGGTGTCAAGAGTGTGTGTAAAGCAAGCATCTGACTTGGGTACTTATGGCAACTCTGCTTATTTCACAGGCTCTTACCTCCAGCTGGGCATAGACTTGCTCGGGCATCTTCTGACCATAGCTTTCCAACAACATGATGGTTTCTTTCAGAGGGTCAAAGAGCTTATCTGTAGCTCTCTGCCGGCTTCGCACAGCCAGAAGATGGCCCATGATGTCAACTAAGCCATTGTAATCGCCTTCACTCAGCTGTCTCTGAAGACCTGCATCCGTCTGCTTGATGAACCCTTGCAGCTCATTCAGACTGGAACAAACATGTCCACGCGTGTGTAATTAAGTTGGGTTAATGAAAGCATCTAGCCTCATACACAGAGTTCAAAGCAGGACTCCTCACCATAGCAGAAAGACAGAAGCAGTCAAGTGTCCATTACCAGATTTAAACAGCCATTCATGTCATTTCCCACGTTATTCTTCCACACCAAGCCAAGACATATTCTCCAACCCTTGGCAATGGCTTACCATTCTCTTTCTCTGTGGGTTACTTATTACGACACTTCATGTAAGTGGAGTAATAACTGTATATGACCTTCATTTGCTATCTTTCATCAGACAAATGGGTTTCAAGTTCATTCATATATGAGCATTATAAGGCTTGACTAGATCTTATTTTCATTATGTGTAAACATTTTTTTTAAAAAAATCTACTCTAAAGTTAGAAGTATATATATTCTTGGGGTTAATTTGTCAACTACAAATCAGTCAGCTGTGAGTATGCACAGAGAGGCCAGAGACCAACTTCAGGTGATGGGGGATGTCCTTCTGAATATATGGTTCTCTTATTGGTTGATGAATAAAACACTGTTAGGTCAATAGCCAGTAGATACAGGAAGACAGGTGGGACTTAGGAGATTAGGAGAATTCAGAGAAAGGTAGGCAAAGAGAGGTGCTACATGAGACGCCATGGAGGGACAAGGAGGATGTGATTCACCAGGCATTCTCTGGTAAGATAAGACCATGTGAAAATACATAGATTGATAGAAATGGGTTAATAGTTAAGACAGAGCTAGCCAATAAGAAGCCCTAGCCATCGGCCAACAGTTTAAAAATTAATATAAGTCTTCATGCATTTATTTGGGGCTGAAGTGGCAGTGGGGCCTGGTGAGATAAGAAACCTACAGTAATATTCAGGTGTCATTCTTCAGGTTCCAGGCAACTTGGTCTCTCACCAAACCCGGAGGATGCTGCTTTAGGCTGGCTGGCTAGCAAGCCCCAGGGATGCTTCTGGTTTTGCCTTCCCACCTCTGGGGCTGCAAGCATATTATATCACTATGTAACTTTTACATGGGTACAGGAGACTGAACCTGGGTCCTAGCTTTTATATGACAAGCACTTTACAGACAGAGCCATCTTCACAGCCCCCCCAGTCAACTTTTGTCGAAAGCTAGTACCGTTTCAAACACAAAGGCCAAGGCTACCTGTCAGTGACAAATCTTAGCAGATGTTCTTGAAATAGCCAACTCCACTTTTTGATCACGTTGAGCAAGCTCAGCTTGAAAGGCTTCATGTCTACCTTGAGCCAACCATTAAACACTCGGAAGTCATCAAACTTGCTCATCTGAACATACAGAGCCTCATAAATGTCTATCTATGAGATTAAAAAGAAAGAAAAAAAACTATATGGCAACTTCATGAAAGGCCAGCTAATAGCATTATATGCTAAGGGGTTGTCTTGCCTGCTCTTTGAATTGTTCTAGAGTTGGTGGTTGCAGGATCTCTTCACTTGCGTGTGCCTCTATTTCCTCGGATGGTGCAGCATGGCCATACAGGAGAAACTGCTTCAGAATCTCTACCCGGTCATCCACCCAGAGGTATGAGTAGGTCTCCAGAGAACTTTTGAACTCCAAGACTTTGTTGATGACATCAGCCACTCTGTTCATTATCTCCTGCCGGACCTCAGCCAGGCCTAACATGTTGTCCATGTCGTTCTAAATGAGAGGGGAACCAAGTGTGATCTTACCCAATCATTTCTTACCACAACATTATCCAATGTAATTCTTCAAGGGAGAATCCTCTACAAAAGGGGGGGTGTGGGCTTTTATGGCTCTTACTGAACTCTTTCTGGGACTTCCTATTATCCTGGCTTGGTTCCTAAGAGAATACCTGGTAGTTTGTGATATCCAGGTGTGCTGCCACGCGCTCCATTTGGGCAGACATTCTGAAGCTGCCACACAACATCTCCTCCACCAGATCATAGAAGCCATCCCCAGCATCTCTTTCTAAAGGGGGCTTAAACACAATCTCAGGAGGCATTAAGAGCATCTGTACTTGAAAAAATGGTGCAGGTTTTAACTGTCTCTCTGTGTTCATCAGGAAGAAGTCCAGGTCATGCAAGATGGCCTGAAAAAAGCCTTCCACCACGATGTCGTCAATGAACTCCACATAAATTTTCCAGGAGTCCAGAGAAGGATCGGCTCTGAAGAGCTTCCGGTTCTCCTAAGAACAAAGCATTAAAGGGTTGGTGTCAACGATAACCAACATAAAAGGAAGACTGACCCTGGAGTGGCTGTTGAAGAAAGGACTGAATTTTTTTGTGTGGTACTAAAACTCTCAAGGCTATAGAACCTTTTGGTAAAAAGCAAAGGCGGTTGTAGGATTTTATAATAGTCTAACATTAAAGCTAACATACCACATATGTTCAAAATAAAATCCTTTAAAAGAAAAATCAATATGAAAATTGCTCTCTTCAAATACAGGCAAGAAATATACCAGTTCCCAACAAATTTTGGAAATACTACACCCCAAGTTCTAGCTCTTGATTTGTCCCCAGTTTATACTGTCTTGAACTTTTCTGTCTAGGACCTTATACAGAGAGATTTCTCAATGTCCCCTGAAAACAGTATTCTGGGACACTTGGAGTCAGGGATGGGAATCCTATGGATTTGCTGCCCCCAAACTTAAGGGTTAGGTCTCTTGGGGGTGTTGTATCTCCTGCCAGGTATCTGGAACATCCACGTGCAGTCATGTGACCTGCATGAATGCCGTGCACATCCTGAGACCCTGAACATGGCAACCTTTTCTTTTTCGGTCACTGGAAAGCAAAGAGGGGGAAATCCTATGGCTATGAAAAACAAAACCCCTTGACACATTCACCTGGTGGAAGCCAGTGGCTGCACAGGACTGGAAAACAGCTACTTCTCATGTCCCCAGGGAAGGGCTTTTCTGATACCAGTCATACCAGAACCACTTCACTTCACTCATGGCTGAGGCACTCAGAAGAAATGGACTTTTACACACTTGGGGGTGAGCAGAGCTCAGGTTCCTTCTAGAACTATCCACACAGAGCTTCCCCCCCCTCCTCCTCCTCCCTTCTGAAACTCTTTTCACAGGAATCAGTGACATCCCACAAGGAAAGGATGCAGAGGCAAGAGGCAGGTGGCATTTTCTTCATTGCCATGTCCCTACACCTTTCTCCAAGCTGTATCCTCCCCGGCTGTTCACAAAGGTTCCATAAATCAAAGAGGAAAATGTCACTGATAGGCTGGACATACTCAACCAATCAACCACTGTGCATGTGTTTCCTTTACAGCTGCCTCATGTTGGAAGCTTTTTTCCTTTTCTTACACAGAATGGGAGTTTTGGAGCTACTCAGTTCTGACTTGAAAAACAAAGGGCATTGTTAGAAGAAAAATTCTGATTATATTCTCTGAAAAGGAAAGGAGGAGACTTTTTCCATAATAGTTTCTAGTCAGGTCTTTTGCTGCTCAATGCATTTTAATCAGGATTTATATGACTATCTAACACTGGATATTGGAGTTTAAGGATTTTTTTTTTAATTATCAAGAAATTGTAATCAAAACACACAAAAAAAACCCCAAAAAACAAAAAGACAGATTGTGATCCGCCTCCTGTCCTCTGTGAGACAGACCCTGCTACACGAACTATACAAACAGCTGTTAAGCCCACCGCCACAAAGTCATGGAAGATTTGACGGCACCAAAGAGAGCCACACCCAATGGTAGCTTAAGATATAAAGAATACTGTACCATCCAGAAGTGGTCTTCCTTTACATGCCAAACGCTTGAAAAGTTCTTTTCTGCTCTAGGAGCAAACATAGCCCTGCCTACAGCCTGATCACAAACTTCTAGCCTAGACCCCAAGACCACAAGGGAATATACCTCTGTCACCTAAAATCCCCCACTTGTGGAACTTTGCTATATCAGCCTCAGAGGATCCACTCAATCTCATTTGGAAAGGAATAGATATGACATGATGGGCTTTTTAAGGCATCTGGCTATTGTGTTGATACTGCCTCTAGAAAATGATCAAGTTGTGTGGCCTCTTCTGGATTGGAAACTGCTATCTTCACATGGTAAAAAGAGACATAAGGTCTCTTTCAACAGTGTTTTAAGTTCATCTGTAAAGGCTCTGTCCTCATGGCCTCACCCCCTCCCAAAGGCCCTACTTCCTGTTTGTATCACCTTGGATGTTAGAATCTGAGCTGGGGAGAGATCCACATACAGACCAACTAAGAGGTCACAAATGATGGTTCCTGACTAGAAATGTTGGATTCCAAATGTGTTTTGAATTAAGTAGAGCTGACACATGTTGTCGGAGGCTTGGGTGGAGGATGAAGGGGGTGGATGTTGAAGGCTACGAGTTCTGTCAAGATCCACAGCCAGCATTGTAAAAGGAGGAGACCTATACAGGAAGGCCGGGGTTTCTGATTTAGATAGCTTGAGGCTGAGTTGGACAACTGGGTTTACTAGTGTGGGAATCAAGAGAAGGCTATCTACTGGAAATGCAAATTCAAGAGCAAAGGCACTAAACCGGGATGTGGGAGGAGGCTTTCCAACAGCTTGGGTCTGGGGACTGCTGGCCAGGGTGCCGTTACTCTCTTCAGGAAAGAACAGTGGCATGGCAAGGTAGGGCCATATCTGCCCTCAGGCTCTGCCTAGGGCTTCACAGAGCAGGAAAGAACCTTCGAGGCATTTGGCATGTAAAGGAAGAACATAACCTGGAAATTAAATTAAATTGGAACAAAAGCCAATGTGTGCAAAAGCCAGTACATCTCCCTATCTTCCTATTCCCTTCCATGAAGCTCAGTGTCTCACCTCTCTTTACCTACTTTCTCACTTCCCTGAGCACACCGGGTACTCCAGCTGGCCAGTAGCTTCCTCTGCCTAAGACACTGCATGCCACTGCCTGCTTTGCCTGAGTCTATAGCTTCTTTCAAGCCTTTGCTCACATCTCACTTTCCCCTTAGACCTACTCTAACCACACCATTTAAACTGTTCCCTCTCTCCAAACCCTCTCTCCCATAATCCCAATCGAATGACAACCTTTTCTGCAGGACTTTCCAATTCTAACACACCAGACTTATTCTCTCCCTGTCACCAGACCGTAAAATGACAGCAAGGATCTTTGGTCTACTCACTAACAGATCTCAAACTTATAATGCAGAAGAGGGCTCAGTGGACAAAGCACTTGCACAGGCATGAAGACTGAAGCTCAATCCCCAGCACCCACATGAATGCATGGTGGGTGGCAGTCTGCCTGGAATTCTAGAGCTCTATAGGTGGAAATGAGAGCCCTAGATCAATCTGACTGTACCAGTCAGCTCTGGGTTCAAACGAGAGATCCAGCCCCCAAAGAATATTGTGGTAAGCAATCAAGAATGACTTGTGACATCTGCATCAGGGTCTCTACATGCATGCACACCCACTCACACGAAAACATGAATTCACATGTACTCCCACACAGGGTCAAGCATGCATGAGCATGCACTCTACCCACAGGTACATATAAGTAAACCAAAGCATACAATGGTAAGAGAACATAAGAGGCTCACCGTGAATATTTCTAAGTTGAATAATGGATTATATCCAATTTAAGAAGGAAAATCATAATCCCCTCTCTTTCCTGAAATGGGGACCTTCATTCTATACAAGGGAAAATTCAAGTCCAGTTTCTGGAAGACACATACTGAACACCCTGGTTTCCAGGCTCTATCATGTGTCCTTTCTCTGCCCAATACCACAGTGTAGGGAAACCAGAAGAGTGCTGTGTGCCTTACTCACAGGACAGTGTTTATGGCTGAAAGATCACACATACCTCAAGAGGTTTCATATAACGTGATTCTCAGGAGAAATGAATAGCATTTGCTTTCCCAGTCCTTTGATTGATTGATTGACTGACTGACTGACTGACTGACTCCCTGTGTGTGTGTGTGTGTGTGTGTGTGTGTGTGTGTGTGTGTGT